GCTTGCAGATTCAAATTTTGAGAAACTTAAACGAGAATCAGAAAGACTTGAGGAATTAACACAGACACCATGTTCCTGGTGGATTTGGATTATGATAATTACAGTCTGTATTGTGTTTATGTGGATGATTATATTTATTAGACTTTTTCCAAAGAAGTGATGTAGTGATAACTTTAAAGCAGAACTCTTCAAACAAAAAAGGTTCCAAGAACGTACAAAGATTACATTAATTTTCAATAAAAGAATATTATTATAAAGAAGTCTGTTTCAGCTTACTGTGTTTAATTTAACAAGAACTGAAATTCTTCTGGGCCCAGATATTTTTAAGGTATATAACGCTATCCATTGGTTAAATCTCTTGTTACCAGATAGCACAATATTATTGCTTTTCCCAATACCTAACCGCTGAACAGTGATTTATCTGTTGGATAGCACTTTCCAACTTATTTTGAACAACCAGGGATAGGGAACCACCAAAATCTAAGTGTCGATGCATTTAGCATGAGAGTACTAATAAAGGACACTATTTCTGTATCTCCTTCTGGAGACAAGACTACACTGCCACTTAACGTGGCCATCTGAGCCACACAAAGGTCTAGCCATTTGAAGGGCAAAGGTGGTTCCTTCAATTCTCAGTTATTTTTAATCCCTGGGTATTAGTCAGTGACAGTGGACCTGGGAATTGAACCCTGCAATCAAGCGCTCTAGCAACCAAGGGCAGTTTCAAAAAGTCAGAGCTGGCAGGCCGGCTGGACCATGATCACACCAGTCAGTTTGAAAATGAAATCAGCTTTTTCAAAGAGTTTTTGCTACAAAACCGTCTCCTTAATGCAATATACTACATGTATTTAGGATTTGACTCATGATCTACTATATTTCTGCTGCCTTCACAGTGTTATTCACTCAGGTAAATGTACGTCATTAAATTTTACAATTTATTTACACTGTCAACCGTAACTATATCTTGTCCACTGAAAGTATTAAATAAAGTACCCAGCCAATTCACATTACAGTTTCAAAAAGAGAATGCAACTTGCAAGTCTCATTTCTAATTTTAACACGTGTCCTTATTTGCTAAGGAACTGAAGTTAGGAAAAGAATCTACTTGTAGATTACAAAATCATGGCTTTGTGCCAAACAAATATAGACGTCTCCCAAGCAACAACAGTTCACAACAAAAATAACCTTTATGGTTGCTTGTCTTCTCCCCTCGCATTGCCTTTTCATTTCCTACCTGATCTGAGCATGCACTCGCGTGCTACACTCGCTCTATGTTTTCCCAAGGTGAAGTCAGTACATATATAGTAAATAATTATTGCAATTAACAATATTCTTAGCCTGAATTTCATCTGATTACTTTGAGTCGTGATAACGACTCGAAGCAATTGGATGAAATTCAGGCTACAATATTCTAAGGGTTACTAAATATTGAATTCTCTTAACCCATTCGCCCCTGAACCGCCCGTGCGGATCCACGTCCTTTCTACCCTTTGTGACATCATCAGTTTTAACGGTCAAGGACAACTTTGTCTGCTATCTTGGGCAGAGTGAAGAGATCTTTCAAACCATACCAGAATGAGCACAATTCAGTCAAGGACACCGGAGAAAGAGGCAAAAAACCATGTAACATTGACCTGAAAATACCCCCCCCCCCCCCCCCCACCTTGATGGAAATGTTTAAAATAATCGCCTCCCCCACCTCTATAGGTCACCCACTAGGGATAGCCATTGTGGAACTTGGAGGATGGAGCTAAAGTGGAGTCTGATTCAGCAAAACTGATCAGTGAAGATTCAAGCTTAGACACCTCGGAAATTCACAGCAAAAATTAATCAATTAGGAACCAAATTTGAAACACTTTAAATGCCAATGTTCAGTTTATCGGATGTGATTATTTTGTTATTTATTGGGAAAATAGGACAAATATTTAGGGCATGACTTCTAGTCAGCAGTATTTGAAATAGTCACCTCCCTCGAATAATCGCCTTCCCTCAAATAATCGCCCCCCTTTGGTGCAAAAAAAGAAATAACCGCCCCCAGCTATTATTCAAGGAAATACAGCATCCCAAAAAGCAAATCCAATAAGAATTGTTTTATTATACACGGTTGTGAAGAAAATAGTGTTATGATAAACACATTGTCCTTGAATACCAAGCTTTGTGCACACAATTTGAAGGCTGTCATAAATATGATCAGCTACCAAGGTGACCCCTGGCCTACTGTTATAAATTTAATAGAATAAAAATAGAACCAAACGAAATCTGTACCTGTTAGATTCCCTGCCTGCTTGTTTCCTGAACTTGAAATCTTAGTGACAGCCATGTAAATTTGTATCAATAAGTTTCTTTACTATTGTAGAGACAAATTACCCAAATTTTGGGCAAAACCACTGAAAAGAGTGCAAAAAGTCCACTTCTGGTTGACGTGCATTATTCCTAACAATGTTGTTTAAAAGCTACGGTAACATGGTTTTTCAGAATTGTTGATGTGGACTTAAGTTAAGGCTTTAAAACGGCTCATATAAAGGATAATGCCTGAGCCCGAAGGCCTTGTTAAAAATAATGACCGAGCGCCCGAGGTCATTATTTTTAACAAGGCCTTGGGCGAAGGGATATTATTTAATGTACTTTTCCATTGTTTTACAACCAGCAAGTCATAATTAGGATCTCTTGTTCCAACTCAGTGACCTGGGTTTTCATTTATTGAAAATAATAACTAATGTTCAAAACAATAGAAAGGTGCATTAATAACAAGGAAGGCATATTTACAAATTGGTCATTTTAGGAAGGCTCCATGTACAGACAACAGAGGCAAACTTTGAAAAACTTACTGTTGAATTTTGTGTTTTGTTTTTTAGACCTTAGAGCAGTCAACAAGGCTTGCAGATTCAAATTTTGAGAAACTTAAACGAGAATCAGAAAGACTTGAGGAATTAACACAGACACCATGTTCCTGGTGGATTTGGATTATGATAATTACAGTCTGTATTGTGTTTATGTGGATGATTATATTTATTAGACTTTTTCCAAAGAAGTGATGTAGTGATAACTTTAAAGCAGAACTCTTCAAACAAAAAAGGTTCCAAGAACGTACAAAGATTACATTAATTTTCAATAAAAGAATATTATTATAAAGAAGTCTGTTTCAGCTTACTGTGTTTAATTTAACAAGAACTGAAATTCTTCTGGGCCCAGATATTTTTAAGGTATATAACGCTATCCATTGGTTAAATCTCTTGTTACCAGATAGCACAATATTATTGCTTTTCCCAATACCTAACCGCTGAACAGTGATTTATCTGTTGGATAGCACTTTCCAACTTATTTTGAACAACCAGGGATAGGGAACCACCAAAATCTAAGTGTCGATGCATTTAGCATGAGAGTACTAATAAAGGACACTATTTCTGTATCTCCTTCTGGAGACAAGACTACACTGCCACTTAACGTGGCCATCTGAGCCACACAAAGGTCTAGCCATTTGAAGGGCAAAGGTGGTTCCTTCAATTCTCAGTTATTTTTAATCCCTGGGTATTAGTCAGTGACAGTGGACCTGGGAATTGAACCCTGCAATCAAGCGCTCTAGCAACCAAGGGCAGTTTCAAAAAGTCAGAGCTGGCAGGCCGGCTGGACCATGATCACACCAGTCAGTTTGAAAATGAAATCAGCTTTTTCAAAGAGTTTTTGCTACAAAACCGTCTCCTTAATGCAATATACTACATGTATTTAGGATTTGACTCATGATCTACTATATTTCTGCTGCCTTCACAGTGTTATTCACTCAGGTAAATGTACGTCATTAAATTTTACAATTTATTTACACTGTCAACCGTAACTATATCTTGTCCACTGAAAGTATTAAATAAAGTACCCAGCCAATTCACATTACAGTTTCAAAAAGAGAATGCAACTTGCAAGTCTCATTTCTAATTTTAACACGTGTCCTTATTTGCTAAGGAACTGAAGTTAGGAAAAGAATCTACTTGTAGATTACAAAATCATGGCTTTGTGCCAAACAAATATAGACGTCTCCCAAGCAACAACAGTTCACAACAAAAATAACCTTTATGGTTGCTTGTCTTCTCCCCTCGCATTGCCTTTTCATTTCCTACCTGATCTGAGCATGCACTCGCGTGCTACACTCGCTCTATGTTTTCCCAAGGTGAAGTCAGTACATATATAGTAAATAATTATTGCAATTAACAATATTCTTAGCCTGAATTTCATCTGATTACTTTGAGTCGTGATAACGACTCGAAGCAATTGGATGAAATTCAGGCTACAATATTCTAAGGGTTACTAAATATTGAATTCTCTTAACCCATTCGCCCCTGAACCGCCCGTGCGGATCCACGTCCTTTCTACCCTTTGTGACATCATCAGTTTTAACGGTCAAGGACAACTTTGTCTGCTATCTTGGGCAGAGTGAAGAGATCTTTCAAACCATACCAGAATGAGCACAATTCAGTCAAGGACACCGGAGAAAGAGGCAAAAAACCATGTAACATTGACCTGAAAATCTCCATGAAAATCTTGTTCCATTGCCCACCTACCTTTCCTTCCACCTAATCCTAAGATCCTAAATGCTTTCCTAAAAACTATTCCCACCAAAATGAAGCCTACTAAATGCCCAGCAAGAGAAAAAAAAAAATGAGGTAAGAAAAGCGAAAAAAGAGGGGAGGAGAGAAAGCGAAAAGTAAAAGTCAA